AGCTCCAGCTGCGGCACCCAGAGCAGTCCCTCTCCCGCCACATGGCTCTGGCCACTGGAGCATTGCCCGTGTCACACTAACCTCCACTGCTGCCAGGGACTCACCCCAGCAAATCTGCTGCAGCCCGGGACTCCCGCATTCTGCCTGGGCTGTGTGATGGCTGCACCCGGGTGTGGCCATGGTGCTATTTTTAGCACCAACGCCATGGCCCAAGAGCAGCTGCACCACGGCCCCGGCAGCGGTCCTGGAACATGGGGCAGCCACCCGTCATGCAGCCCCGCCCACAGGAGCTGCTACGCCCATGGCTGTGTGGCCGCTGCTAGGGCCGGAATTGCAGCTTCGGCCGTGGTGCTATTTTTAGTACTGTGGCCCAAGCTCCAGCTCCCAGCTGCTGTGGTGGCTGCCCAGCTGTTCCTGGGGCGGGGCAGCCACCCGCCACATGGCCCCACCCCCAGGAATAGCTGGAACCACAGCTGTGTGGCTCTGCTGAGGAGGTGGGTGGGACTGAAATTTTTGGTGCATGCCTTCGTAGGTGCACACCTTAGAAGGAACATTGCTCACTGCCCTACCAAGACCCCTGAACCCCAGCCCCCACACTCACTACCCTGCCAAGACCCTGCACCACCAGTCCCCTGTGCTGAGATCCCGCACACCCAGCTTCCTTCTACACTCTCCCTTGCTCTTGTACCTCCCCCCTCACTACAGACCCCACCACCTATCTGCTCCTGCACCTTCCCCCTTGGCTTCACACCCTACCACCAACCTGCTCCTGCACCCTCCCTTGCTGCTGCATCTCCCCCCGGCCAGACACCCTATCCACCCCTAACTTGCTTCTACACCCTCACTTGCTCCTGCACACTCCCTCCTGGCCAGACACCCTACCACCAGCCTGCTCCTGCATCCTCCCTTCCTCCTGCCCCTCCCTGGAGGGGAGGGATAGCTCAGTGGTTTGAGCATTGGCCTACTAAACCCAGGGCTGTAAGCTCAACCCTTGAGGGGGGGCTAGTTAGGGATCTGGGGCAAATCCATCCAGGATGGTACTTGGTCCTGCCATGAGGGCAGGGGACTGGACTTGATGATCTCCCAAGGTCTCTTCCAGCTCTATGAGATAGGTATATCTTCTAGTGTGGCCCTAACCAGACACCCTATTCCCAGCCTGCTCCTGCACCCTACCTCCCACTAGGGATGTTAAATATTGGTTAATTGAATATTCAAGTAATCTCATGAATTTTTATTGTTTAGTTGACTATTCTATAGTCCCTGGGAGAGGAGCTGGCAGCCTCTGTATCAGAGGCAGCAGCACAAGGTGCCAGGCAGGAGCTGGTCCACAAGGGGAGCCAGTTTATAAACCAGCTCCCCTCGTAGACTGGATGCCTGTGGCCCTGTGCTGCTGCTTTGAATACAGAGCCCATCAGTGGGGAAAGGGGTCTGAGCTCCTGGACCCGGCATGAGCCAGCACTGAGCTGGCTGCTGGCCAGCTTATTAAAAAAATTACTGACATGGGGGAGAGGGAGAGGGAAATGCATGTAGTTTATAGCAGGGGTTTCCAAACTTTTTGACATGGGGACCAGTAAATCCATTCACGGGCTTTTGGAGGACCGGTAACATGCATTTGCATATTTGCATATTCATTAAGCAAATGATGAATATTCAAATAAGTTGCTTCTGGTCCTCCCAAAGCCCCCAATGCCAGCTTTAGCAAAGCTTTTGATATGGTCACCCACAGTATTCTTGCCAGCAAGTTAAGGGAATATGGATTGGATGAATGGACTGTAAGCTGGATAGAAAGCTGGCTAGATCAGGCTATCCCAAACTTTTTACTTTAGTTGGAACCCTTTTTTTTCAGTACTGTCTTTTGTAGCCCAAAAATATAAACGCATATAAAAAAAAGAATGAAAAATGAATAAATTTTCAGTGTTTCACCCAGCTGCATCCTCTATCCAGCCTGGGCCAGGGCTTGGGGGACCCGGCACCACATGAACACTTCAGGAGGCGGGAGCAGGAGCAGATTGGGGGTAGGGTATCTGGCTAAGAGGGAGGGTGCAAGGAAGGGTAGGTGCCAGGTGTCCGGTTTTGTACTGGACAGTCTGGTATTTGAAGATTTTGTCTGGGAAAGAAATTGAGAAATTACCAGACATATAAAATGCCTGGTATTTTCTAATGGGCCAGGGGTTGGGAGACCCGGCACCCCATGGGCACTCTAGGTGGGTGCAGGAGCAGATTGGGGGTAGGGTATCTGGCTAGGAGGGGGGGGGCAAGGGGGGGGACGGTGGGC